GGCTATTGGGACTTGGCATGCAGATTCCTGAGCTTCTTACGCAGCGCAAGTTTGTTTCAGCAGAGTGCCACGCCCACTCGTACGCCCACAAACCGCCCGAAACTGTGGCTCCTACAGTTTTGATGCTAGAATAAACATTTTAACTGAAAATTTTAACTGAAAAAGTTTGCCACGCCCACTTTAACGCCCACAAACCGCGAAAACCTGTGACGCCCATAATTTTCATGCTAGATAAAAATTTTAACTGAAATGTATTGGTCTCGTCAATACCCACTCTAACGCCCATAACGCTTATATCTGTATACCGCCGGTAGGTGGCGCATTTTAATCTCGCTTTGCTGCTTGCATATCTCTATTTAGCTGAGTAACGGGTATCTGATAGTCAAGGTACTCGACTATAGCGTTCTTCCTTGTTTTTATTTCTTTATGTTCATAATTACTGTGCTTATGATATTTGATTACTCTAATCATTTAATAAAAATTGAACTTTACGATACTTACTTTTCAAGATAATTTTAGTCCTATACTAATTTTTTAAATTCATTTCTAGATCTGTTGAATCGCTTTTGTCACTTCTCGGACCAAAACAAGCGGCATTGATTTCGCAGGATGACAAGGCTCGCGTTCCAATTGGCGTTACGGCTCTCCAAAAACAAGGACCACTACTCATGCATGTAGAATATAAGATCACACTTCCAGATCATGATTGGGTAGTTGCCGAACGTCACAAGCTGATTCCAGGCGTGTATGCGGGCATTGTCATCCGCGAAGCCAAACTTGATGGTTCACCATCAAATGTTTCATACTCTGGACCAACATATGTAGCGATTCGAAGCGGAAAACATTCGTCAACATCAGCTTCCAGTCATGCTTTCGATCTCCGAAAACTAATGGCTTTGCAAGAATTCGATGATTTATTAAAAGGTAATTAGGTAATATAAAGTATTAAACAGGACAGTTTGAAATAATGATTAAATTTTCAGTTAATTAATTATTATTAATTAATAATAATTAATTAATCGTGAAGCCCGTGCTCGCCTTGTCTGTGGATAGGGGTCGGAAACGCTTCCTTCTGCCTGTTACATACTTTCCGACGAATCTAGTATACCCATTTACTCTACGAGTAACGGGTATAACTAATTCTGGTTTTTGAGCGTGTATTTTTAAAGATGCCAACTTTGACGAAGTGTAAGCTTCTAAACTAATTAATGAAACTCTATGCTGTGTATAAGAAAGTTAAAGGACGTTCTATATCCTGTAAAATAAGTCGTTGATGACTTCATTCGGTTTATCAGAACTCGATTTAGAAAAAAAAAGTGCGAAAAACGTTTTTTACACTTTAAAAAAAATTGGTACCATAGAACAAATTTTAAGTGCCCATTTCTTAATCAAGGAGATGTACATACCTTATCGGAAAACAAAGGTTTCCTTGAAGGCGTATTTCATCGATTTCCTTTTGTAAACTGGTGTTACAGGTGTAGTATGCATGTATCATGGTAGCGAGTACCCACTGTACCAACACCAACATTGTGTTACAGTGTACTTAAACAAATACAAAAGTGCCGGCCGCTAAACTTTTGCGGCCAGCCGAAATATGAATACGCCTCAGAGCCCAACTTATGGGAAGTGCTAGTGTCAGCATATTCCCATGGCCTGAGTGCAGACACATACAAGGCATGCATGTACAACTTCTCTCGCGCTCTCAGTGCTACCAGCACAAATGCAATTGCGAGCATATACTTCGATATATATATGACGGCCGCTGACAACGTTTGCAGGCAGCGCAGCCGCAAATAGCTAGCTGTAAGTCATTCATATTTTGACGATTCCCAAATAAAGATCTGCCCATGGCAGTTGAAACAAATTACAAATTTTTCAATTAAAATGTCATAATGGCAAACATAATGGGAAACACAACATGGCGACCGTGACAGGACATTGGACTCAAAAATAAAAACACAAAACAAAGTTGGAAGTGAAATAAACGCGAGGAAAGTTATAAGCGATTGCCGCCACATCCATTTGTGTGAAAGAGTGCAAGCGAAAATGTTTACGTGAAACAACGTGTCCCTAGTATGACAAAAATGAGATATTCTATCTAATGAGACGAGTACAAACAAAAGTGGAGACCAAAAAGAGGAAGAGCAAGCGGCCACTATTTAAATGAAAGCAATCACCGCCTGTGCGAGGACCAGCACCGGCACCGCCTAAAACCATAGGCCAAGGACTACAAAAGGATAAGAAGTGTGGGAGGAATGGCAAATCCTCCTACACCTACGATGGAAATCAAACAAGTATAAACGAAGACCTACACCACCGAACTTACACTGGAGAAGGAGAAGCCTGTGCAGCCAGTACCGGCCCCGTTCGGCGCTCCAAGCCGAACCCTGGAGAAGTGAACCGACAGCGCTTCCAAGAGCGCACATCTTAAATTTTTATACCCGTTACTCGTAGAGTAAAAGGGTATACTAGATTCGTCGGAAAGTATGTAACAGGCAGAAGGAAGCGTTTCCGACCCCATAAAGTATATATATTCTTGATCAGGATCAGGAGCCGAGTCGATCTAGCCATGCCCGTCTGTCCGTCTGTCCGTGTGAACGCTGAGATCTCGGAAACTATGAGAGCTAGGCTATTGAGATTTGGCGAACAGATTCCTGAGCTTCTTACGCAGCGCAAGTTTGTTACGCAAATATGCCACGCCCACTCTAACGCCCATAACGCTTAAATCTGTCTTCCGCCGGTAGGTGGCGCATTTAGATCTCGCTTTGCTGCTTGCATATCTCCATTTTCCTTTGGTCCCTTTAGCTGAGTAACGGGTATCTGATAGTCAAGGTACTCGACTATAGCGTTCTCCCTTGTTTTTCCTATTTTTCTTTCCTTTCTTCTATTAGGGAAGTCTAAGAATGTTTTACATTTTTCTTTTTATTTACAGAAAATTAAACGAATTTAAATTCTAAATAATTTACTTCTTTACTAGGTTTCTTATTAAATTATTTGAATTAAATTTTAAAGTAAAACAATTAATTAAATTTTTTTAATAACAAATTAAATATCCGTTAAAAAATTTAAATTTATAAAAACTTAAGAAACGAATAAAAGATGAGGGGAATGTCAAGAAGCAATTTACACCGTTTGGTGAAAAAACAAACGGAAGAGCTTCTGCGATCGGCCGCTTTAGCTCTACCTGTCAATATAGAAAATGATCCTGACAATGTATACCCCTCTGAAATTGTTACCGATTTGAATTACAGTGCATCAAGTTATTCCCTTAATAACAATACAGAATTAAACAATGCATTTTTAGAAAATGAAGAAAAACCAAGTCAACGGCAAAAATTATTAGACTGGTACCATAACAATAATGTTACTAGGGATCAACTTGATGCACTGCTAAATATTTTAGAATCGGGAAACCTAGATGTTCCTCTGTCGGCTAATGGTCTTTTAAATTTAAATTTACCAAAAGCGGTTATCCGCACTGTAAGACCGTGTCACTACACTCACATTGGCATTCGGAATTATTTGGAATTCATTAAAAACAAATTGCCAGATAATTCTGAAATAATATTAGATGTCAATGTAGACGGATTACCGCTTTTTAAAAGTTCCAATACCAGTTTGTGGCCAATTTTGGGACACTTTTCAAATATTCCCAGTAGTGATGTATTTTTGATCGGCTCTTTTGTTGGCAGTCGAAAGCCTGCCAATGTAGATGATTATATGAGCGATTTCGTATCTGAACTGGTAAAAATGTCTGAGAGTCCTCTCCAAATTGGCGACAAAAATATATCTTTAAAATTAAGGGCTTTTTTTTTTTGGGATTCGCGCGCGCAAAAAATTTTTGTAATCTAAACAATTTTTTAATCAACACAAATGCCTTACATGCCCAAGTATATTTCTTCTTGGTAAGATAAATCCTGTTAGTGTATTTATTATAATTTAACCTGCTAACGAATTTCTTTTCTTTTTATTTATTTTTCGTCTAGCCTTAAAAGGTGTGTATGTTTCTAACCTGTTAAATAGATATATAACTTACTTTTTGTTAATTTTGGCATCAATGGAAAGGTAATTTAAATGCTGTTTGAATGATATAATACTTTGCCCAACCCATTACCTTTCCATTGATGCCAAAATTAACAAAAAGTAAGTTCAAATTGTGGGTTTATTTAACTTTTGTTTCGTCCTAATACTTATGCCGACTAGTGTACACTGAAATAACAATTTAAACACTTTAATTTCAAATATATCGATATTTGTTTTCATTTTCTATCGTTTTACAGAGTACATAGTCTATTACACGCTTGCTGAGTGTTGCTGTTTAATGTAATACAATTATAAATGCAGTATTCAGTAAATTATATACTTTCTTGATCAGGATCACTATGCGAGTGAATCTACCCATCTCCGTTTGTCTGTTTGAACGCTGTGATCTCGGACACTATAAAAACTAGAACATTGAGTACTCCTATTAAGGTTCCTTAGCTTTCGATTTATTGAAAAATTGTTTTCCAAATTAGCTACTCACACTCTAACGCCCACAAAAATGTGTAAAGTGAAATTATAATATCAAGCAAAAACATCTCTTAACGAGGTTAAAATATAGTGACGATCTCTTCTACAGCAAACAAAAGTTCATATATCCACTTTTGTGACAAAAATGTATTATACGATCTACATAATAAATACGTTTTCTTAATATTTTTACATTAGCCACGCTTTATGAAAATTGTACAGCTAAACACAAGCATATTGAATAGCATCGTGGCTAATGTAAAAATATTAAGAAAACGTATTTATTATGTAGATCGTATAATAAATTTTTGTCACAAAAGTGGATATATGCACTTTTGTTTGCTGTAGAAGAGATCGTCACTATATTTTAACCTCGTTAAGAGATGTTTTTGCCTGATATGTTTTGTAGCTGCAATAGCAACGATCTGCAAGAGTGTACAAACTTCGGCTTCACATAGTTTTCTAACATATTTCTTTTTTTTTTTTTTTGAGAAAATGAGTTTCCAATTGCACGAAATGGAAAATGTGCCAACGCCGGTGGAGGAGAGTAGGTCTGGTGGCCTGGATGGGCGAATCCAACGCCTGGAAGTAGTCCACGCGATGAGCTCTGAGGTCAGCAAAATGAGTACGGATATGGCGGAGTTGAAGTCCGTGAACTCGGCCATTCTCGACTCCACGGCGCAAATGTTGGCTCTCTGGAGGAAAATGGCACCAGTAGAGCCAATCCTAAAGGCCGACTTCCCCATCCGGTCGATAGACCATTTAAAGGAGGTGGACGAAAAGATTTACGGGAAAATGGAAAAATACGTAAGTTTCCAAAATCGAAGCGTTCACGGACAGAGTTTAACAGCAATAACAACTTACATTAAGATTCGGAAACAATACAAAATTATATATTTCTTAAATCCAAAGTATACAACGCAATGTAGGAGAAGATAATTTTATGGGGCTGGAATCTTCTGGAATGCTGTCATTTACGACTGGGCAGTGCTACCAGCACAAACACAATTGTGAGCATATACTTCGATATATATATGACGGCCGCTGCCAATGTTTGCGCAGCCGCAAATAGCTAGCTGTAAGTCATTCATATTTTGACGATTCCCAAATAAAGATCTGCTCATGGCAGTTGAAACAAATTACAAATCTTTCAATTAAAATATCATAATGGCAAACATAATTGGAAACACAACACAGGCCTCTAGCGAAGATCAGTAATATTGCTGAACTCTTCGAACGCATTGTTGCCCATAAATTATCATTTCTTATAAATACATATATGAGCACTTCTCAGCATGGTTTTTTTGCAGGTCGGTCAACTACGACTAATCTTGCCGTTTTCAGCAACTATTGCATTCATGCCTTTGATAAGCGATCTCAGGTTGATGCTATTTACACTGATTTTGCAAAAGCCTTTGACAAAGTAAGCCACACTGGCAAAACTGGCCCGCTTGGGTATACATTCGGCATTACTAAATTGGATAAAATCATATTTACACCATCGTCTTTATAATAATAATAATATTAATGGAAAATTCTCGGATTTCTATTTGGCAACCTCTGGCTTCACTCAGGGGAGTGCTATGTGACCTCTGCTTTTCATTAATGATGTGAGGTTCTGTCTATCTTCAGAGCGTCTCCTGTATGCAGATGATTTAAAAATTAGCGAGACTATGTCACTTACAGCAAATCCGTATACACTTTCGTCACATCCTATAATATCAATGGTCAACCTCTACAACTGCGGCAGGAATCCTTGGATCTAGGAGTGTTGTTTGACTCAAAATTTAAGTTTGCAGCACACTTCGATTACATCATGCCCAGGGCCTATGCTATGTTTTGATTTGTAAAACGGAACGCATCACTATTCATGGATCCCTACACCAGACTTGCGCTTTATTTTGCATTTGTCCGATCTAAACTAGAATATGCGTCTCTTATTTGGAATCCCTTCACTTGCACTCATGGAAACAGAATAGAACGACTACAGAAACAATTTTTGAAATTCGCTTTGTTGTCGCTAAGGTTTTTAGACCCTACTCCTTCATACCACCAGCAGTGTAGGCTTGTTCACCTACCATCCCTTGAGCATCGTAGAAGTATCCTCGCCATTTGCTTCATCTCTGATTTGGTGGATGGTAGTATCGACTGTCCAGAACTACTCTCGAAAGTTAATTTTCACGCTCCGTCTAGACAACTTCGGAATTTGTATCTCTTTTTTCTCGAGCTGCGGCGGACAAATTATTCCCAAAATGAGCCCCTCTATAGGGCCTTATATGAGTCAAACGCACTTCCAATTGATATACAATTGAACTACTTTTCAAGTAAATCAATTCTTAAGCATAGGTTAGTCAATCATTTTGTAAATTTTAGTACGTAAGATAAGTTGTTGAATAGTACAAGTAGTCAGTAAAGGAATTACGTTGCCGAAATAAATAAATAAATAAATAAATATCAAGCTTAGATTCAAGAAAGTAGCTAATTTTAATAATGTTCTTACAGGATATGTAGATTCTGATTAAGCTGGAAATGAAACTGACAGAAGAAGTACCACTGGGTATCTTTTTAAAATGTTTGAAAATTGTTTGGTTTCATGGAGTACCATGAAACAAAAGTCGGTTGCTGCTTCATCTACTGAAGGTGTAAGAGAAGCTCTTTGGCTAAAATCACTAATAAATGAGATTAATCTAGAATTAAGTGGTCCTATAGATATTTTTGAACACAACCAAGGTTGTATAAGTATTGCAAATAATCCTACTTGACACAAGAGAACAAAGCACATATATATTAAATAGCACTTAACAAGAGAGCAAATTAAAAAGAAACTAATGTGTGTAAAGTTTATTCCCACAGATCTGCAAATAGTCGACATATTGACGAAGCCATCTGCACGGTTTATTTCCCTGAGAAACCAGCTGGGACTTTCTGAATAATCTAACTACGAACCTTGTGAACTGTTGCTGAAAATCCATCGCTTTTAGAAGCCAAACATGAAATGGATCTCATGAAATCTTTTGTCATTAATTTAAATTTCCATATTTACTAAGCCTAAAGTAATTGAATTGAATTCATATTCTTGTTTATTTTTTCAAATGGATCTCATGAAGTACTTGTAATTAATTTCAATTTTCATATTTAGTAATTATTCCTGTTTAATTATATAATTATTAAACGTAATTATGTTTTTTTTTTTGTATGGATCTAGTTGGGTTTTACTGGGTTTCCCCAACTCTTGCAGCAAATTCTAAATCTAATGTATCCCCAGAACTGAAGAAGAAAAGAAATGAAATGAAAAACAAATTAAAACTGAAAGCACAAACTCATGTCAAGAATTGAAGTGATAATCAATGTTACTTTTGAGGCGGCGTGTTGGAGTTTGCATGTCCAAACCCAAATTGTGGAATTGTGCAATTGAGTATTCGCGCCCAATCATCACGAAGCCTACTGCGACGTCGGCAGAGCAGGCAGCGACGCCGGCAGAGCCGAGTGCAACGGCGGCAAAGTGACGCGCTCTCAGTCGGGGTCCGCAAAGAGAACGCACAAAAAGTAATTTTGGGCTCTCCCTCTCTCGCCATGTCTCAGCCGGAAAAGTGCGTGTGAAGGGAAGGAGGCCCAGCAACTAAAATAACTAGACTTTTGTGCACCCTTGCCCTTCGAATAATGCGACATTTGTAAATGATATAACAACCAATTAAAATAACACGTTTGGGTTTTAAAATATTTGTATTTCTTAAACAAATTTATGTGTTTATTAATAAAATTTAATAATATGTGAAGTTTTTAAAATATATTTTTATAAACCGATTTGCATAGTCGAATATGTCTATAAATACCGTGCTTTTATGTGCAAGGTGCATAGACCAAACGGGACATGACAAAAAATCAGAGCAACAACGGATTAGCGGGACCGTTGTTGTTGTTGCTTGTTGTTTTTCTGGAAGGCACGCGCCTTTTTTCGTCTTTTTCACTTGCGTTTACTTAAGTGAAGAAGTTAGAAATTCAAGCAAAACTACAAGCTATTAACTTTGTTATATTTAATAAATCAGTGGCTTAAAAGTGAAAGAGAAACGATTCCCAGGTAAGTCTGTCGCAGACCAATAATTTTGCAAACAGCGAGAGTAAAAAACAAAATAATCTATATTTAAAATAAGGGAAATACAAGATTCCCAAAAAAAACACGTGGCGGAAAAAAAATAGCTGTGAAACATATTAATTTTTGACTTGAAAAGAAACAAATGGTACATATAATAAGCAAATGGATAAATCTGTGAAAGAATTTAAAAATCTTATTGAGTGCAAAACGTTATAAATACATATATAAATAAAAATGTAAACAAATATTTTGTGAAGCAGCAGCAGATGGCCGGCCGCTTACCAGATACGCTGCGATTCCGCCGTGGGACGGCACAGCAAAGAGAGCTGTACCGTAAGAGAGCGAGCGCCCCAAAGAAAGGACATAACGGTATCGGGCAAAAAGGAAGGCGCGCAACCGAGGTTTCATGTATGGGGAGCCTGGCGACGGTCGAGCATTACAAGTCAGGAAACCAAGATGAGCACACGCGTCACCTGTCCAAAGCGGCTGAAGGATTCGCTGCAAAACTAGCCCCGAGGTACGATGGCCCTTACCAGGTTGTAGATTTCGTCTCTCCAGTGATCTGTAAAATTCGCAACACACAGTCGAAGAAAGAAAGGACAGTTCACTTTGGCGAGCTCCAGCAACAACAAAACGAGCAGACAGCAGGAACGTCAGATTGTCTAACGACAGGTACGAGGCGACAGGATAAGGCGTCAGGCCGAAGCGAGAGTCATCCGTACGCCACACGGAAAGGACAATCAGGATAGCACAAGGACATGGATAAGGATTTCACGTTAATCCAGACTGCGAGGCCAAAGGATTATGCGACAGGCCGAAGCGAGAGTCATCCAAACGCCATAAATATAGGTCACAAGGACGGGGATAAGGGTGGATGGTGATCCCGACCGCAAGGCAACAGGATTCAGCGTCGGGCAGTTGCCAGAGTCATCCGCGATTACGCCAGACGGAAGGGACACTTACAAAACAGCACAAGGATACGGGTAACATATAGGGATCCACCCACAAGGCAACAGGATTCAGCGTCGGGCAGTTGCCAGAGTCATCCGCGAATACGCCAGGCGGAAGGGACACTTACAAAACATCACAAGGATACGGGTAACATGTAGGGCTCCACCCGCAAGGCAACAGGATTCAGCGTCGGGCAGTTGCCAGAGTCATCTGCGATAACGCCAGGCGGAAGGGACACTTACAAAACGGCACAAGGATACGGGTAACGTATAGGAATCCACCCGCAAGGCAACAGGATTCAGCGTCGGGCATTTGCCAGAGTCATCCGTGGTTAGGCCAGGCGGGAAGGACACGGACAAGGTCGACAACAACACTAGCAAAAGCAAATCACTTCAACAAGGATACCCCAACAATACCCTAAGTGTTCCCAAAGGACACCCTAGGGATAGCCCAACGATACCCTAAGGATACCCGAAGGACACCCCAACAATACCCCTAAGGATACCCGAAGGAACCTAAAGGACAACCGAAGGATACCCTAGGAATAGAACAACGATACCCCAAGGATACCCCAATAGTACTCGAAAGACACCCCAAGGATACCCCAATAGTACTCGAAGGACACCTCAAGGATACCACAATAATGCCCCAAGGATACCACCCAGGAACGCCCCGAAGCAAGGTGTAGGCCCAAGAACAACTTCCAAGGATACTCACCAAGGGTGATCAAGGTAGGGTCTCAAGCAAGTTGGTTACGGAACCGGGAGGTACAACGAACCGCAGCATCCAGAGTGCCACGGTGATCTGAGGGAGTACAACTTGTGGTTTACGAAGAAAGGGGGAAGACGGCACAGCAAAGGGTGCTGTACCGTAAGAGAGCAAGCGCCCCAAAGAAAGGACATAACGGTATCGGGCAAAAGGAAGGCGCGCAACCGAGGTTTTTTGTATAGGGAGCCTGGCGACGGTCGAGCATTACAATTCAGGAAACCAAGATGAGCACACGCGTCAACAGATCCGAAGCGCGCAGGAGGATGGCGGCCCTATAGGAAACTCGCCCGGGGCAAGGATGGTCGGAGACCCGGCCTACCCGAGCTCCGCGGCGGGCCCTGGAGCGGACCCGCGACGAGGACTCCGAACCAGAACCCGCGGTGAGCTCCGACAGCGACGTGGAGGTGGTCGGCGATCCCGTCGTCGAAGAAAGAGAGTGGCGGCTCTGGAAAGCGGCGGCGGGCGATCGGATACCGCGCGGGACGACGGACGTCGGAGGAGCGGAACTCCCGAGGGGTCACGCAGAGGATGTCTGTCGGGCCACCGAAGAGACTGGGAGCCGTCGGACGAGGAGCAGCAGCGGTCGACGGAGGAGGAGGCGCGATGGCAGATCCGGCTGAAGCAGGACCACGAAGCGGCGGCGGCGCGATGGCATGCCCGTCTGCGAGAGGCGGAGGAAGAGGAGCGACGTCTGTGGGAGGCACCGGTGGAGGACTCATGGGAAGTTCCACTCACCCCCAGATACGCGGCCGAGGAGCCCAGTCCGAGGAGCGAGGATGGGGACGAGCCATGCGTGCCATCCCCCCGCGGTGGCCACCGACTCCCCGCTACGAGGGGGAGTGGCTCACGAACGAAGCCCGAGACAGCGACGGAGGAGCCCCGTTGGCCACGCCGCCGTGGAGGCCGGCCCGGCCACCTACGCCGCGATACACCGAGCCACACCGACCGGAGGCGCAACCGCAATCCGAGGAATCGACCGCGCAACCGATACCACAACCGCACGAGGAGGCGGTCCACCAGGCACAGGCGGAGGAGCAGACGGTGGTGCGGACGCGCACGTAAGCCACAGCACGCGGGCAACGTGGCCAAGGGGGTTCGGTGGCGGTAGCAGACGTGGCCCGAGGGGCCCGCGACGGTACCGACGAGGGAGGAGCCCAGGATATGGGAGGAGAGGGTACCCAAGGTGAACCCTCGGGATCCCCGGACGAGAGGCCGGCAGGATTCGTGGGTCCCGCCGACACCGAGCAAGGGCCCGCCAACACCGGCAACGACGGGGGAGGCGGAATCGCTGGAGAAGGGCCCGAGCCACCGGCCACCCAAAGACCTCCGTTGTAGCGGCAAACTTCGACGCCCGGAGCGACGCGCCCGCGGCCGCAGTTCATGCGGCAGGTATCGGCCCCGGAGGAAGGCGGTTGGCGCGAGATCGCCAGGAGCGAATGGCCGGAGGGAATCGAGGAGGCACTAGAGGTGTCAAAACATCGATGAAAACATCAATGCATCGATGTTTTTGAAATTTTCTAAATCATCGATGTTTTTTTTCAACCATTGATTTTTCTGTGCCGTCACTATTAAGAAAAAAGGCAAAGGAAAGGTACGTAAAAGAGCAGATTTTTTTTTCATTTTTTCTATTATAACATTAAAGTTCTTCTTTTGCGTATGCAATTATGCGTATGTATATTTTGTGTATAAGTGAAGATACACTTACAGTTATTGGTGTTCATTTAAAACACACATGTTAAATGCAACTTAAATCATTGCAAATTACTAAAAGCAAAACCAACAAAAACCAAAATTAAAAACAATAAGAAAAAAGCAAAAACATTAACATTAACGTAAAATTATGTGTGTAGTGTGTCTGTGTGAGTGCCCGCTGTTGGTTTTCGGCGATCGCCAACGGTTTTTTAAGTGCAATTTGGTCAAACTTTAAAAATTTCTCCTGGCTAAACTAAGCGCGTCCCCAAAATAATTTTTACATAAAAATTCATGATTCATCGCCCTCTAAATATGGATTTTTGTTAATTAGTCGGGTCGTTCCGGTCCGACTATTTAAGAATTACCAAAATTTAATTTTAATTTTTTAAAACATCGATGAAACATCGATGGGGGAAAAACATCGAAAACATCGATGTCTCAATACATCGATGTTTTGACACCTCTAGGAGGCACCCGCGGTCGCGACGGCACGGCG